TGCAAATGCTTATTTTATGAACAAATTTCATCCAACAAAAAACAGCCATAGCATTGAAAGGCTACCACTAGCCTTTTCAGAAAAGCTTAATGATACTTTATTATGTTATTACAAGTCATATTTTTCATCTGATGAAAACATATCTTTGTTCTCTTTCATACACAAAAATCCCAAGGATAAGTAAAATGTTTCATAAAACCTGAAAGAGATAGTTAACCAGTCTATTTTGTAAAAGTAAGATCCTCTGAAGCATGGCATCAGAAACAAAAAATAATGAAAAAAGGTATACATGTTGGAATACCCACAATGAAAAGTGTATATTGTTACAAGTAGCTTAGGAAAAAAAAAGGCCACAGTGCTGACATTGCTAACTTTAATGCTTCCTCTTAAGGTAAGCTGTTTAAAAAAAAAAGTGAACATTTCGCCAAACAGTAATACGTTGTATGTAGAAATATTTTCACCTTTATCATTTCACGATCATGACAGAGAAACTATAGGATGTGAAACACTTGTATAATTTTAGACGGTAAAATACACGAATCTCTCTGAAATGTCACATACAAATTTCAAGATAATACCTTTTGATTGTTACAAATATATTTTGACTAAGCAAAAGTCCCATATCAGCATGACAGAGCACAGGACAGAAAAATATTTCAAAGCCAATACTTTTTCCCTTTAAGGGACAGGAAAAAACAATCAAATGTTGAAACATCTGATATCCCTTTCAGAAAGTTCATCTCCTCTTTTTTCACCAGATCATGGGAACATCCTCAGCTGGGCAACCAATGAATGAGTAAACCAACTTATTACCTACTTCCAGTTACATACATAGATAGGCCAACATTTGGTCTACAAAGTGCTTATGCTGGCTTGGAGTATGAAAAATACTATGATTATAACCCACACAATACTGCTGCCAAAAGTTTTCATACAGATGCAGTTATACTGGCAAAAGACAAGCAGAATAAAAATATTTTGCCTGAATAAAGTAATATATACTGCCAAGTAGGGTAAACATACACAAAACTGGATTTAGGTGCACCTGTAGTAGGGCAGGTTTGTCCCAGCTCAGCTCCTATGAGAAGTGCTTTTATGAGTACACAAGTCTTGAACAGCCAGAATCTAGAAATTAAATTCCTTCAAACTTCCCTAATTCTTCTAATTAGAAGTTCTATCTGATTTTTAATTAAAATGAGACATATCTTTCTTTTTACATGTATTTTTTCCACTTCTCCGGTTTTTTGTTTGTATGCTTGCTTGTTCAAGTTTTGTCAATGTCCACAAGGATAAGAGACAGACATGCTGTATTTCTAGTAATTAAGGAAATTTGCACCAAACCTGTGAGCAAGCTTTTATATAATGTAGTTTTGTGCAACAGTGAGGTTGAAAAATCTGCAGCTACCTAAGTGGAATTTTGCACTGGGGACAAATATTGCCCCAGTAATATTGTTCCCTCCCAGTCCGCTGCAGAAGAGCTACTGGGAGAGGAAGGGGGGGCTGAGCCAGAGAAACTGGAAGAACTGAGCAATCAGCAAGCAACAGCACTAGTTAAGTACAGAGTATGAGCAATTACTTGGCAAGAGCGCAACAAGAAAACTGAAAGCTAGTGTGTTAGACATCAAATAAATAAGATCTCCCTCTCCCATGGGAAAGAATTCTGATGTCCTAAGAATCTGATGTTCTCCTACTCAAAGAGGAAGGTATTAAGAAGCATTACATCCTTCCTTAAAATTGTTTCTCTGGCTTCCCTCCCCACTTCCTCCAGCAAGCTTTTTTTTCCCTGAAAGATTAATCAGAGTTGTTCAAACAAGCATGTTGGTTATGAACTTCATTTGAATCCAACTGCAGAAAAGAAGAAATGCCGTTTATATTATGTAGTCCATCACAATATGCAACGAATAGGCCTCATTCTGAACATTTTTTTTTTTTAAACTGAAAAAGTACAGACAATAAAAGATTGCTTCATAAACAGACTGCAAGAAGGATATCTGAAGATAGTATGGTTCTTGTTTCTATTTGTACAGGAGCATTCTCTTACCAATGTACTCTTCCTTGCAATGTTTTTTTCTTATAGGAAGAACACCTTAGAAAAGGTGGCATGCAGGCAAGATCATGAGAGAGAAGCATTTCAGCACAGTCTAATCATGCTGATGTCATTCACTGATGGCTTACCATCTGCAAACAGTGGTCAAACCCTGGAACAGGCTTCCTAGAGAGGTGGTGGATGCCCCAAGCCTGTCAGTGTTTAAGAGGCATTTGCACAATGCCCTTAATACCATGCTTTAACTTTTGGTCAGCCCTCAAGGAGTCAGGCATTTGGACTTGATGATTGCTGGAGGTACCTTCCAACTGAAATAGTCTATTCTATTTTGAATGTTTGAACTGATACATTAAGATGAGGCTGATGAACACTGTTCTTTTTTTTTTTCTTAAACAGTTCTTAAAAAAATTGGAGAAAAATCAAACTGTTATATGTTGCTCTGTGTTTCTTCAGCCTGGAAAAGAACGTGCACCCCAAATCCTGTGCTCAAAGATATGAGATGCTGTAGCAAAGACAAGTGAACTCTGAGGAGAAAATTAGTTTCTTTTTGGTGGTCACAATAATTACAGTTTTTGAGGGGGGGAAACACAGATATTTCATTTCAAACAGTGAAATAAAACCCATTTTACACCTATATGTGAGACATTTGCAAAAATGCTCCATCTGTGCAGAAATATGAGGCCTGGAAAACTGCCAGGGTTTCCAAGTGTGACCTGCTGTGCAAATGCTGATTATGCAAGTTAAAGCCGTCTGGGGTGAATTTATGTTCCCTGTTTTCCAGGGCTCCAAATAAATAACATTCCCTTACAGAAACCATCATGTTTTCAAGATTCTTGACAGGTTCTGTAAAGCACAATTCCTTTCTGTTTGCAAAATGAAAATGAGTTTATTCCAAATAAGAAACTGAGGCAAAAATGTATCCAGAAACTTTAAGAAGGATCAAGTCCTGGTCACTTTTCTTTGAATCGTTTACAGAAGCATTTACAGGAACTTCTATGGTTTATTTCGAAACAACAGAAAAATGTGAATGACAGACAACTGTATCTCTTCTCAGTATGAATAATTATTTAAGCATGCATAGCCATCATTATCTTGAAACTCTAAAAAAAAAATTCTTAAAAAGTCAGCAGCTGCCTAGAGTCATAGAACAATTCAGACTGGATGGGAGCTCACTTTTAGTCTTACAAAGCAAGACTAATTTCAGCATTGGATCAGGCTGCTCAGAGCCTTCCCTAACCCAAAACTTTATGTATTTCCAGGAATGGCGACTCCATTACCTCTTTAGGTGACTGCTTCAGTCCTTGGTCACCTTCATTTTGAAATTATTTTTTTCTAAAACCCAAAATGAACTTTTCCTGATGCAATCTGTATCCATTGATGATTACGCTTTCGCTGTGCACTTCCAAAAATAATTCATCTTCTCTACAAACACCCATTAAGTAGTTGAAGACAGCAGCAGGATGTATCCTTCACCTTCTCTTCTGGAGGCTCAACAAACCAAGCTATTTCTGCTGCTCCTCATACATCATGTCTGCCAGCTCCTCATGTTGGTTGTGCTCAGCTGGACTCATTCCAGTTTCTCACAGCTGTTACTATCATCATTTCATGCTATTTAAGAAATTTTCATTGTACTAAAGATGACCAAGCAGCAAGGTGACAGTTATTTAAACACTGAATGGTTATTCCATGTGAAATGTTTTACAAGCAAAAGAAAATATGATGGTAACACTACTTTGGGTTTTAAAAAGTATCAAGGAAGCTTTATACACTGAAAAAGCTCCACACTGCATTTTTCCTCCCATTTTATTTATTTGAAGAAAACTAAGTTATATATACACATGCCTATTAAAATTCAACAACATAAAGCTGTTAGAAATACACGACATCAAAGTGCTGTTCAAGCAGCTGGTAAGAGAGTGATTTG